CACACCTCACCTAACATTTTCAGTTGAATGATTATGTTTAGTCAAAGCTCTCCTTTACTATTGTGTATAGGAATTATCTATACGCTTTATATGATGTGCAATTGTGTTTATTGTCAGTATTTAGTAAGCTAAAACCTTCCATAATTTACATTTTATGTATATATACATAGGCCTATATATATTTTTTTTCCCTCGAAAAGCTAANATTACATTTAAGTTGAATATTTAAAAATAAAAAGTGAAAAAAATAATAATAAAATCTCACCTATCTACTTCTAAACACTGTTGCTTTTAATATTCAAAAATTTCTAGAAAGAAATAAAATAATTAAAACTCTTTTCTTTTGCAAGAAAAAAAAAATAATAATATTCTTTTGCATCCTCCTCTAATTAGGAGGTTTTCAAAAAATTTATGAATGAATTTCAACAGAGATGAGATAGAATTTCATTTAAACGACTTACAAAAAAAAAAAAAAAGTCATTCTGCTTATCGCACTAATTCTTTTATTGTCTCCAATGTAGAACAATTGTATAAAATTGCCGAAAATTGCTTACTTCCATCGCTTAATATTATTTTAAAAATTGTTATTTGTAGAATTTAAATAATTATCTTTATACTTATTGCTCCTTTATGAATGTATAAGAGCAATACGAGAATAAAATGAGGATAGTGTATTACTTAAAATAGCTTTTTAGACTGTTTTTCTCCATGTTTTTATAATTTGGAAAAAAATAAATATAAGTAGTTTAGTGGATATTTATAAAGTAAATCTTCTTTTTTTAATATTTAGTGTAGGCATATTACATGGTTTCAAACTAATTTTAACGAGCTTTATGTAGAATTTAATGAGATAACCGGTACACTTTTTCACTGAAAAGATGCAAAAATATATATATATAATCGGCTTCATTTACTATCGTGTTTTTCGTATTTAATAAACGAATTTTTCTCATTCAAGAAAATGGCAAATTCAATAGACAATTTCTCCTACCTGTTAATATCTACTCCATTTCTTAATTTAATTATCTTCTAATACCATTAAGCTATCAATAGTTAAACGCCTTGTGTTGATATTTTTTTCTTCTTAGTTCCATATTTGTCATATAGAACTATATAGTCACGTCTCGTATGTTTCGTGACCTTCTCTACTTCAGCCTTGACAATATCAAGGGTCAGACTACCATCTCAGTTCGCTACCAACTCAATTAGGAAACTACACGTTAGGAATTATTACCTGTGTAATCATACTTTTCGTATGCTGCTTGGACTACAAACTTCTAACGTGTGCCCTAATGTTAGAAGCAACGTTAATGAGTTAATGGAAGCCAGTGTGTTTCTCATTTCCTGTGACTCTTTCTGTTGTCCTCCTCCTGCGAAAGTAACTGCGTTAACATTCGATCGTTTATCATGAAAGTACTACTACAAACTACTACTATTTTCGCACCAGCGAAAACTTTTGAAAAGACTTAGGTTAATAAATTAAAAATGAGTCTAGGAAAACATTTTAAAAATTTTCTCTTCATGTAAAACCACGATTATCACGTAAAAGTTGTATGAGAATTTTTGGGTTGGTGTAGTAGCCATGAATGTTGGCTTATCTGGTTAACAATTCCCAAATTTAAAATAGGGGAGGAAGTAGGGGTAAAAAAAGGAAAAAAATTCTTACTATCTTCGTAGTAACGTTAAATGGTGTCCCGACCAATATCAAAATGTCATTTCGTATCACCGTGAAATGGTTAACGATGTCACCTTATCGCCTCCTTACCATCTTACCTGACAGGTTAGTTTTTTTAACAACGTCTTTGACCTTACGTTTCTTGACATTAAGGCTAGCGTTTTTAAAAGGCAATAAACATTGAAGATCGTGCGGGGACTGGATTTTTTAATCTATACATCGTATCTTTTTCTCTTCGACTTCCTGCTTGACGTAGTGCAGAAAAGGAATTTTCTATTATTTAAATTTAAAAAAAAAATTAGTCGAGTTAAATAAATATAACTAATTAATATGTACGATAAAGCTTTATAACTATTAATTATCGATTTATTTTTTTTATAGAGTGATATATGTAGAAACCTGTATAAAAGAGACATTTTTGTCTTGTTTATATTGGGTGTAATATTTAAATGACGTCATACGCTCTAGTTTATTTTTATTATTTAAAAAAATTTCTTTTTTATTGTTTTCTGTTTTTATTCCCTTGCAGAAGCAACAAGTATATCTTACATAAATCTACTGGTCAAGTTGTGGAGCGAGGTCAACTACCGTTGCCCGAAAGAGGCGAAGATCCGGGTGTCTATCCGACTACGCCCCGTCCTTCCTCCGCCCACTGTATAGTTTGGTCAGTGACACAATGCTTCTAATGATGTAGTGCTATGCTATTTTATAGCCAGTATCAGATAGTTGGCACTAAAGAGTTGCTTCCGTCTTAGTTACCAGCTCCGGTATAATGGTCAGAAAATGAGAGAGAGATATGTATGTGAGTTGTAAGATTCCTTTAAGAGAACGACAGCGGTTCAGTGACCCGCAATGTGTCCCCATAGAATAGTCAGTGGTAAACGACAGATACACTCGATTTACCAGTTTGATATTTAATGTTTATGTTTTGGCTTTCGTTAGTAGTATTTTTGAAAAATTTTCTTTTATTAGATCGTCGAGCATCGGAAATTCTTGCAGAAATTACTAATGGAACAGAATGTGTTCGTAATTAAATTTCCTTACAAAATGGCTAGGTATTTTATCGACTACTTTTGCCTCATGACAGAAAAGTCTTGTAACCGATACACAGATAACTAGACGACACAAGACTCTACGTGACTAAGGCAACTAGACAGATTTGCCGATAAAAGCACCGACTAATAATACCACAGTATCGTATTACTCATCAAGTTAAGTAGGATAGCATAAGGGATGGTAGTCATTAGACTTCATCATTTGATCCGCAAAATGATTGCAAACTCGCAAATATCGCATCAGCAAAAGCAAATAGTTTACTTTATTTTTTCCCCCTTCTTCTTCCTTCTTCTTAACCGTATCCGTCAAAGCAATCTTTCTCTCATCTGTTCTCTCTCTCTTCTCTTCCTTTTCTTTACTTTTCGGTCTCTATCTTGGAAGATGCTTAGAGAAGTTTTCTCAACCGGTTGTCCAGTATCAGTTTTAGAAGCCCGGGTAATGATCTCAACAGTCAGTGATTTATGGCAGGTACTTATCGTTGTGGTAATGTAGGCAGTACGAAGCATGTTTACATTCAAATTACTCCCCTCCTATGTCACTGTCGTATCACTGACAAATGTTCTCTGATTTGTTTTAGTCAGTTTTTGCCACGTTTCTCTGCTAATTCACCGATTTGGCTGACGTTGCAATCTCTTAGGCAACTGAAGGTAATTTGAATGGAACTGTATCAGATACCATTGTCAGTTGTGAGAGATCGAGATGCAGCTCGTTTGTGTGTTCCAAAGAAGATGCTCTAGTCTAAACTATCCCGGATAACGCTGCGTAGTGAATTTAAATTCCCCACACTACATTATCAAACCAACTAAATTAGTCAACAACAGTTTAGAGTTGCTTCGGTAGCTATTTTCGGCTTCTCTTATCGATGATTACTCCACATCACAAAATATTATTCCCAAAATTGCACTTAATATTACTGATTAAATGACTTATCGTGTTTGGCTTTTTGATGCTGATTCACGCAGCTTTCAATTTTTCAAATTTAATTCTCTATTTTAATTTATAAATATCAACTCCAGCAGATAAATTAACGCGCTTTTATTTATTTATATTTATAGATTTTTATCCTTAAAAACTTAGTCAGATATAAAGGAAAATGTACAAAGTTTTGAATTAAAAAATCTTTTAAAATTAAATTTCGTTTGTTTTTATTTACAGGATTTAAATTTAACATCTATTTTAAAAAAAAAACCAGTTATAAATTTTATTATAGATCTACTTAATAAGTCATTTTTCATTCGATTACATTTAAAATAACATCTCATAAATAGACCACAACTAGACCAGACATGATAAATTATAGAATTTAAAATAATCCATAAACCAAGCATGAACGCTTTTTAAATATTTTTAAAAAATGAAGTCATCCGGAAATATTTTGACTAAACAGAGAGCAAGAGAGAGAGAAAAGGACTTAAAATTTTGAGGAAAAATTGCTATATTTTTTTCTGTAGAAAGTACAATCTGTAAGATTACTAATTACATGTTATTATAGGGCTCGATAACGAGACAAGACGAATGTATCAAGCTAGGGGATACCCTTAGAGAAGGAAGATGCACTAGCTACTATCTTTTGCTATCGGCCTCAGGCAAATGTCACATTGGCACACACCAATTTTCCTTACACCTCCTGTGTTTGTCAGTAATGCTCATGTCTTTGACTTTTTCTCCACCTTCGAGCTAACATTGCTCTTTACAACATCATACTACGAAAGAACAGGGGGAACGAAAACATATTTTGCCCCCTGTATTTACCGACTATGTGACGGGATTAATGTACCATTATGTGAGCAGCAACTTTTCGGCAGACTAGCCAACCTATTACCTGACTCTAATAACAGGGAATGATAGGGTCAGTAATTAACGTACCATCCTTCCCGAACTCTGTTGGCGAGAAAATTACCAGCCGGCAGCCTAATGATTGTCACCTTCTAGCTTGCAGTTTTCTGTAATAGCAATCAAAGTAAGGTCGTAAATCTGGATGATCCCATCGTACATTTGTCTTCTTGCGTATCCTGGTGATATTGTATGGGCATTCTGATAAAAATACCTTGTCACAACTTAAGAAAATGATGATGTCTTGCCTCTGGTTTCCACTCTTTTAAATGATTCGTCATTGAAATAAATAGGTCGAAGCTATAAAGTAATAGACCGTCCCGATTACGTCGGGATAAATCAGCAAGGATTATTGTAATTAAACAGACTAATCATCGGCAATAAAGATATTTTTTTTTCTAAAAAAGTTTACTATTTTCGTCTTAATANTAGATGATAGAGGCCCCCCGTAATGTCAAAGATCAAATTGGGTGAACACCTTAACGATATTAATGGCTGGAAGAAAATGATGATGAAAGTATCGCAGTCACGTTTGGCAATTAGGTCCTCTTGATACAGAACAACGCTTTCCTCAATCGTGTTCTTGTCACGATGACGTCTAAAATTAAAAGCGTTACTAAACTTTCGATTAATGCCGAGGAGTAAGCACGATGCAATATTTGGATTTAAGCCATTTTTATTCTATTTTTGAGGAAGTTATTTTCAATTTAAACGATTTCCTTTCTCGTTAATAAGGCGCGAAACAATCGTTAGTCTTCTACCATTTTTACTCTAGAGTAAAGGCAGGTTGGGATGCGCCCCGGGACGAGCTGTCTGAAACAAGGTTGTATCGGGGTCCCAACCTTGACACCGGGCTACTGTGCCTTACGTATAACACCTGTTAGTTCCGGTAGTTATCACTAAACGTCCTTCGCTTTTCATCCGATGACAACTGAAAGTGTGAAGATCGACAAAAGCAAAACAATGAAGCTTCAGCGAAGAGCAATCGTCTATAGTTTTCACCTGATGTACCACCTGTTGGTACTCAAAAATCTAGAATTAATTTGTTCCTTCACCTGTTATGCAATCATTTTTAGAAAACACAATCCTTCTTAGGTAATTTTAGCATTTATAAAGTAATTTGACGGTTTTAAGACTCGAGAAAACGAACTAATTAACTCCAGTTTCATAAGATGCACCAAGTGTGACAGAAAGTGATGAAAAACTCAACTTTCATTTTCCAATGTTCGATTCGTTCAAGCTTCACTCATCAATGTCTCTTCTTCAACTTCCAAATTAGAAAGATCTACCGAAAAGAATCGACCTGAAAAAGAAAGAAAGAATAAAAGAGGTAGAAAGAAAGAATAAAAAAAAAAAAGAGTCAATTTTTAACTGTAAGGAATTTGACAATCTCTATTTAGAATCGTGTGTGGCATTTTGTATTGTGTAGAAATCCTCAGCATTTAATCGGTTGGACATTATTCAGCTTTTGTTACATCATACCATCTAACTACTTTATCCTTAATCCTATGATGCGCATCATCGGATATTCAAGATCTGACCCACAGGCAGGGGTGCTATAAGGCATGGTACGAGTAAAAGAGTCTGCTATTCTCACTTAGCTGATGTCATTTGGCTGCTGTGGGGTGATCACTGGAGTGAGAAGCTACCTGTCTGTTTTTCATCACTTTTTTTTTTTTTATATTCCTTCATACGGAATTTGTTTTTCTCGAGTTTTAATATGTCTAGAAGAGTCATTATCAACTCTTGCTTAATAAATGAAAAGCTAGCTACGTTTTACTATTTTACAAACTATCGTTAAAACTCGTGGAAAATATTAAAAGCGTAAACCTGTAACGTTCCACCTTTAAACATTTAGATATTAAATATTTCATAATAGTTTTGAAGAAAATGATATACCGTTGGGTCCACATAAAATAAAAGTTTTGTCGACGTATACGAGAATAGCAATAAATTATATTTTTCAAGCGTTTAAAAGTTGTGTTCATCCTAAAATATGTGCGTGTATATATGTATATATACGTATAAAAAATCTCTTTATTTCGATCAAAATAGATTAACCTAGTAAACAAATTTTATTTTATTTTATTTTATATATATTTTAGTAATAGAAGTGGATTTTTTATGAAGTCGAAGAGGTTGATCGAATGAGTTTTTGTAGTTTATTTAATTTCATTTTTTAAAAAAATTCTTGTTTTAATTTAAAACGATCGATAAGAGAAGCAAGAAAAGGAAATAAGAATTTTATTTTAAAATAAAACATTATTTATAACCAATATAGAGTGGTTTCTAAAGCTATATTAATTATTTAAGTCTTTATAAGTTTTTACATTTATCTACTCATGTTTAACTTCTAACTAATAGGCCTATATGTAAATAATTTATATCAATTTATATTATACAGTCTCCTGTATAGTCTATAAATATATGAAGTTATCTACGTAATTTATACACCTTGTCTACTTCTGATACAAAGCTTGTGTATNCCGAACTAACGAGCGTTTAACGCCGAGCTAGCTCGGCCTTACTCGTTACTCGGTGTCACTCGTTACTCGTTACACTTAGTAACGAGTGACGACCAATTAGAAAGTGGGAATGAGGAATAAGAGTTAGAATAGAAATATAAAGACGGATAGATAAAAGGATGGATGAAAATTGGAGGTTAGTTTCAAAATCAACCACAATCACAGATTCCAATCTTCGTAAAAATGGAATTTGCTGTTTTTGAAACTATAGTATATTCCTCACGTGCACTCTGTATATGTTGCAATCTAGTGATAATTATGCTGACTATTCTGTCACTAGATGGCACTAATAGTTAAAGTAGTCAAGATGTGAATCGAAACGATAAGAACGGACGGTGATAAATGTTTGCCGTCTTTTTTTTATAAAATTTTATGGAGAAAGTAGGTGAAAGACCAAATCTTCCAACAGTATTTAAATAACTGATTTATTTAGAGAAGAAGGCGTGCATATTTAATAAAACACCAACGACAAGACCGAAGAATTTTAGACGAGGAGGTTAGAGAAGATAATGGAGCATACTTACCTGGCGCCGGGATAACCGTGATCCGGAGGGCGGTTTCCCCAGGGTGAGGCTTGACCATTGCACTTGGGTTTAGCTGACTCCTGCCACTACCCCAAACTGGGGCAGATGGGGCGTGTAATTTGTGGTAGCTGGGGACTGCGTTCGCGCTCTCCCCTTGTAAGTAAATAAAAAATAGTGATGCTTTCATGATCTGTACGTTATCAATTAGAAATAACGTGCTTTTTTTGTAACCGCAGACGTCATTTTGTTTTAATATGTCGTATTATCACAGTTATTCAATTGGGAACGCGATTATTTATTACAGGTTTGCAACCTTAACATTACTGCACTTTAATCTCTACTTTCTCCGATTCATAGAAAAAGCACGATAAACATTTAGCACCATCCGTCCTTATCGTTTCCATGCATATCTTCACTACTTTAACTATTAGTGCCATCTAGTGGTAATATATATATACAGTATATATATGTATAGTTTCATTTTAGAAACTAGTCAGTGTTTTAATAGACTAGATGATAGAGGCCCCCCGTAATGTCAAAGATCAAATTGGGTGAACACCTTAACGATATTAATGGCTGGAAGAAAATGATGATGAAAGTATCGCAGTCACGTTTGGCAATTAGGTCCTCTTGATACAGAACAACGCTTTCCTCAATCGTGTTCTTGTCACGATGACGTCTAAAATTAAAAGCGTTACTAAACTTTCGATTAATGCCGAGGAGTAAGCACGATGCAATATTTGGATTTAAGCCATTTTTATTCTATTTTTGAGGAAGTTATTTTCAATTTAAACGATTTCCTTTCTCGTTAATAAGGCGCGAAACAATCGTTAGTCTTCTACCATTTTTACTCTAGAGTAAAGGCAGGTTGGGATGCGCCCCGGGACGAGCTGTCTGAAACAAGGTTGTATCGGGGTCCCAACCTTGACACCGGGCTACTGTGCCTTACGTATAACACCTGTTAGTTCCGGTAGTTATCACTAAACGTCCTTCGCTTTTCATCCGATGACAACTGAAAGTGTGAAGATCGACAAAAGCAAAACAATGAAGCTTCAGCTAAGAGCAATCGTCTATAGTTTTCACCTGATGTACCACCTGTTAAGTTATTAAATGATTCCGTTTCTAACAAAACTCTACCTGTTTCAAAACAATCCATAACCTCGCTTGTCACCTGTATCTACACCCGAAGGCTGAATAATTCCCAATTTGCACATATAATTTAATTTCTTTTAATTATTCTAAGATGATTTCATACAGCATCCTTTTCCGATTTGTCAAATATTCAAATTCTGCAATATCCGTGAAGTCAAAAATATAATAATTATATCCCATATAATTAAAAAGGCCTAGAGATTTCCACATATTTTCATCCCCATTTTTTTTTTATTTTCTTTTTTTTTTAAGAACCCCAACAAGTGCTCTGAAGCGATAGCACTTAATGAAAAATTTTTATTGGAGATCACACCACATGAACAACATAGTTTGTGGTTGATGTGGCACCAACATTCCAGCAGAAACGCGATCTGGTATTGGCTGGAACAAGTGGTCAGGGGATCCTAAAATTGGCAAATATATCATCGAGTGGAAACGATAATAAACCATCTGACATTCTGCTTTTGATCCTCCTATTTGAGTCCTCCAGAACACGTGTGAAGAGGTAGAAAGCCTGTTAACAGAAATCTAAAATATAATAATATTCTCACAGCTAGTAAGATATTTAAAAAAAAATATTTTTTTATTGTTATTATATATTATTTAACAATTATTAATTAGCAATGAAAATTAATCTTTCCATCATCGATTAAAAAAAAAATATATAATAATAAACAATGGCTATTATCATTACAAAGCAGATGTATAAAACTATCGAACCGTCTAATTTTATGGCATTAAAAGATAGAAGAATGAAGAATCGACGAAGTGTTGATACTTGGCATAGAAAGGGATCGTCAAGTAAGGGTGCCATTACGCTCTCTTTCTTTCCCACCTTGTTCTTGTATAGCTAGAGGCAGGTAAGGAGTGTGGTCTATATCTCCCCTATAATACCGTCCGTGGACCATCTGGCGCTAGACTATGATCTTCCGTCAATTACAAACAGCAAATAATACCCGGATGTTAGTATGGGGTGGAGATAGATAACTTTCTTTTAACATAATAGTTAAATGTTGGAAGCGAGAGTCACTTTTTCTTTCTTTCTTTTTTTTTAATTAAACATTACTTATTATTAGAAAATAAAGACGAATTTAAATTTAAAAATGAAATTATTTATTAAATTTTATTTATGGCCAGTATTTAAAATTAAAATTTAATAAACTTTTATGTATATTTAAAATATTTAAATGGCATTTTTTTTTTTCATTGTATAAAAGTCGTCAGACAGATTTAATGACTCTTTTTTTTCCACCGTAAAAATGGAGTATTTTCCATAATTAAAATCGAATCTGCCAAGCACAACCAACAAGTGCGGAGGTAACTGTTAAAAGTTTTCGAGTTTGTTAATATAAAAAAGTGAACAAGGTTCCGAAACTAGTTGGAAAATCATCGAAGCAAACTCGACGGTATAATTACACCTGTCTATGTTTTCCGGTTCTTCCTACCTCGTATTTCAACACCTTATTGTCTTGTTACTTACATCTATGTATGTTTAATTACACTTCCAGTTGTAGGGAACCAACCATGAAGTGAGGAAGGATGTAGTAATTACTGGACACAAGTGTAACCAGCACTTCGTCTTTGCTTAACATACTGACAATGTCATTGTTTGATTAATTTACTACAAATACCCCAAGGGTGATATATTGTTTACAAATTTTAAGCTGAATGACTTTACAGTGGACAGGAACAGCTATCAGAATTTCATTTTGACGCTTCTCTCTCTTTTTTTTTCGGGTATAAAAATAGATCTAAAATTTCGATAATCATTCGAAATTTTCCCCGAAAATATTCTATAAAAAATTAAGAAGTATATTTATAGGCCATATAGATCGATCATAGCAAATCATTTAAATTATTATTCTTTTATCTTACGTGCTAGATTTTATTTTTGAAAAAAAAAGAGGAAGTTATTTGAACTTTATAGTTAAATGTATTCATATACATAGACTATATATATATAAACATATAGCTAGAAGCTAGAGGGGATGGTGTGGCGTAGCTAAGTGGCAACAATGTCAAGTAGATATTTTCCAATCAGTCACGGAAAATCAGAGAAAAAGTCGTATGTGACCTAAGGTCATACACCGAGGTCCCTCGATCTGGGAACTTCACCTAGTGCATGTAATTGGAAGCTTTTGGAATCGTAGGTGGTGGGGTCATTGCTCCGGGTGCACTTTGTCTTCTCCGTCAATCTATGGTCTGCTGGATAATTAAAATTGTGGGTTAAAAGACTTTTAAAGTTTTTAGCCCCTAATGTGACTTACAAAAAAAAATGGAAAAACTTAGATGAAAAACATGATAAATATCCTCATTTAAAAAATGAAATAGTTTGTAAATATATATATTTTTTTCTTTAAATTGATGGCTCATAAACCTATTTATATGTTTGATAAGTTAAAAAATGAATGTGAAGTCATCTAAAATGACCTATCTACTCTTGCGATATTATCTTCATTGTCTCCAGGCGTAATACATTTGGTAGTCAGCTTTGAAAGGCAATTTATGAAGTTCATAAGTTATGGAATGCAAATATCGAGATGTGTCGAATTCTATTAATACAATCGTGATGGATATTTCACGATTTTCGGTATAACGACTGATGATCTGACTCTCAGCACTCGACAACGTTTCGATTAAGTTCATTTACTTTGAGACTGTGTATTATTATTAATCAACAAATCCCGTTTTGAAAATGGAAGACGTGACATACAATTTGACAACCATGAAGTGCGTGACCTTTATAACAATCTTAAGTCATTTTGCACGTTGGAGTGTCTCGTGATTACCTTGACCGACACTATCTTCTCTAACACGAAGATTCGGTAGTCTAGTCTATGTGCTACTATTACAGATAAGAAATCTACTTTCATTTTTTTTTTTTTAAAAAAAAGTAATAATTAATATTGTAAACTGGTTAAAGGAGAAAATTCCTTTTTTCTTACGGGATGCTTCTTTACGAATTGGTCTTATATTATGACGGATAATTATAGGAAAAAAGAGAATTCTTAAAAAGGAAATGTTTGTATAAATCGATAGAATCCATCAAGCAGAAACATTTGATAATTTTCGGGCTAAAAACGAACCGCAAATTACCTATATGGATGAACTTTTTAGTCACGAACAAAGCAGTGGTCCCACCTAAATTATCTATCGCTATTACTTCAATCCATACAATATACGTTCATTCATTTTTCGTTTGAGTTGTTCCTCCCTTAAATCCTTTGTTTCTTGGACGACGATTTGCTCAACAACATCAGTTCGTCAACCTTGAGTTTTCTAACTTCCTGAACTGATCTTGGTACGGTTCACTGAGATGGATGGACCTGCTTAGTTCGCAGACCTTTACATACGTCATTAAACTTAGCTTTCCCAGATTCATTCAGTTTTTTCTACTCCCCCTTAAACATATTTTTTTTTAAAATACCCAAGTTCATCCGTAAAAATTAAAAGTTTGTTTACACTAGTAATTCTTTTCTCGTTGTTTAATTGATTGTTACAAATATCAAACACAATTAAGTCTGAGGTACAGTCAATGTTTTGAGTGTATTAAGTATAACGAGGTTTATAAATCTAGAATTTCGTCTTCTAGGAGGTCATTACACGTCTTCTTCCAGTTAGTTACGGCATCACTTAATTGAAAATAATGCTTTCTTAGATCACGATAGAAAGTGATGAACAGTATAAAGATGAAGAAAACAAGACCTCTTCTAGATCTTTACTCAATTATATAAAAATATCTTAATTTTCTACGGGATTTATTATGATTTTTTTTTAAATTACAAATTGCGGCAAAGTATAATTTCTTATGGTTTATAAATATATTTAGCATCTTCCTGGAAATAAATTGCACTGTTAGATTATAGTCTAAAATAGTAGAATTCGTTTTAAATTAATCAATTTTTGAATTTTAATGACGGAAAAAAATCTATATAATTTTGATATGGCACTTATTTGCATCATCCGGTTACAGAAAAACACAATAAAGAAGATAAAGAAGGCATCAAATCTCGAGAAAGATCCCGAATGGGATTTGGTGTAGATATTGTGCCATTAAATCCACTGAAGATAGCTGCATTGTGTTTCAAATGTTTCGAAATCCAACGAACACCAAAGATCGAAAACAGTATAAACAAGGAAGGGAAAAAAAGATTCTAGTTTTAAAAATCGACATTTCTAGTGTCTTCTATAAATAAAATCGGAAATAGACAGGTGTAAAATATCTCATTTTACAACGTAATGCGGATGTAAAATGACAAACTGATGCTGTAAAATGGAATAGTTTTTCGGTGTCGATAACTAAAAACTGTTAATATTCAATATAGACGATTAAAAAGAGATTTATAATCAGCAAAAACACTCGAGTCTACGAGTTAGCGATCGTCGAATTTATTCCATCCTCCCCCCTAATGCTTGGAATAGAATGAAGCGATAAGTTCTAGATTTTTCGATTATTTTGATACAGGACACCTGCTATTGATCGATAAACAGCTTTTCCTAACTTTAAAAATCATGAAAAAAAGTAGCCAGTTGACTTACACCTACTTACAAATTCACTGGCTTGAAAAAAAGTGAAGTTATTTGTAACCTTCAATTATAGAATCTTCTTTATGTAGTCGGTTCAAAATAGTGTAGGATGACGAAACAATTACTCTAGAGCTACAATTATTATAAAGACGAATCAATGACTCAATTACTGTTATTTTTTTTCTTGTTTTTTTTTTTTTCTTTCGTGCACGTCACTTTCTGAACCAGTTGCTGATTTCTTTCTTTCAGGAATTTTAAAAACTGGAGAGGAGTGAAGAAAGGATCTTTTTCGATAGAAAGAATTAAAAGAATGCGTGGAAGCATTTAACAGATAACAAGGCCATATGCCAAATATACTAAAAGAGCGAGAGAAGTACCTGAATGAGAACGGCGCACTCAGACACAATCAATACACTGTCCTTCTGTATGAGTCGACGAGCGTGGAGAACACTTCTTTATCGCCGTAATTGGTGACAAACCGCAGTTCCAGGCTTGGCTACCCGCGGTGTCTGCCATAACGCAAAAGGTAAGTCGGATCCATTTGTGATTTTTATCAGAATCTCCTCCCAAACTGAGCCAGAGAGTGGATAATTCGTTAATGTTTAATTAATGCGCGAATTAACGTTTGTTCTTACTTTGCCCTCTTTATTTTTCCGGCCTTCCGGTAGGGGGAGATATGTTTAACGATAGCCTGAATTTTTAAGAGCCTTTCTCACTCGTAACTGCGCCTGTTCCAAGCGCGAAATTGGATGTCGGCTTCATTTATGGCATAGAAAAGTCGAGTTTAATTCCATTTGGACCGGTCAAAAAGTATCTTCGGATACGTTACAGTCAAAGTATAAGTTTAATTTGTAAATTCAGCACATCATAACTGACGTGTCTGTAGACGGTCAGATTCCCAACAGCGAGTAGAAAGACACCACGTCATCCGATCTGACGTTTGTGGCTGTCCTAGTCGGCCTCATGATAATGCTCCAGCATCGAACT